CTGGGAGTTGAAGTCCACTCATCTTAAAGTGGCCAAGTTTGGACAACACTGCCTTAAAGTTTTACTAACCTCTTTTGAAACAAGATGAAGGTAGACACTCTCACAGGCAGCACGGGGTGGCGTGTATCATTTCCTTTTTGGAGTTGGGGTGTCAGATTGGTGGCAGTAGGTTCTTACTGCTGGTTACAGTAGAAAAGAAGCAGGACATATGGACTGATCTCAGCCTCTCCTCATTCTGGGTCCTGGGCACAAGCAGTGTGGCAAGAGGAAGTCGGTTGGAGATGAACTTTGAGTATCTTGCCAATCATCTCTTTTTCCCATACGTGTAAAGCTGCTTGTAGTTTGCTGCCTTGGAAAGCTGTGAGATCTCACTCTTCTTGGGAAGTGTAGAAGAGGGATCTTTGTATGTGCATAAACAGTCTTCAGATGAGTCCTAAATATTCCACAGATCATAGGGCTTTAGGGCTAAATCTACCATGTATTGATTTTTGGGTGCAGAGGGAAGCGTCCTGTTAGGTATAATTCATGGTTTGGTTTTGTTTTGTTTTTCTCTAACCCTTTCAAGACTCCTATTCTTTGGCTTAAATCTGCCTTCTTGAATTGAGTGTATTTCTTGTTTTTATTATTAACACAAGTCAGGCCAGTAATGTAAAATACGATAGAACAATAACACTGCAGAATAAAAGGAGCAGAGCTTGCAAGCAAAATGACTGCAAAAGCACTAGTGAAGTGAACAGACTTTACCTAATACCTAAATTTTAAATTTTAAAAAAAACAGCAAGATACAAGACAAGTGTATTTATGGTTTCCCCTCTCCAGTGGCTTCTCTGTTTCAGTCCAAGTAAACCATATGCCAATGTTTCTCAACCTCAGCGAGTTTAAGATATGTGGACTTCAACTCCCAGAATTCCCCAGCCAGCATGTTTGGTCTTCAGCTTCTCCAGTTTCAGATTAGAGTGGCTACAATTTGGTCTAGTGGTTAAGACCCCAGGCTAGAATCCAGGAGGTGGGGAGTTCTAGTCCCGACTTAGGCATGAAAGCCAGCTGGGTGACTCTCTCTCAGCCCAACTCACCTCACAGGGTTGTTATGGGAAAAATAGGAGGAGGAAGGACTACTAGGTTTGTTCGTCGCCTTGAATTATTTATAAAAAATAATAAAGGGGGGATTAAAAAATCTAAAACAATATATGGTTTAGGGTGTTGGAAAGCCACAGGTAATCAAAGCTGTAAGGAATGAAGCTGGTGAGGCAGGAACCAGAAATTCCCAGATCAAGCAAAACCATTATGTCACATTGAACTTGTGCTTGCTAATCCAAGGCTGTGAAGGGGAGCCCAATTTCCATTGATTCAAAAAGGCAAGAAGAAGAGGCCCAGAATTTAAACCTTGGAGCATTTGGTAGACATGCATATAAGCTTTAAGTTCTGGGTATTGCACTAGCAGATTTCTGTGTACCTGGTTTAATTCTTGTTTGCAGCAAAGCAGTTCCTCTTGCTGTGTTGGTTTTGAGAGCTTCTGCTACAAGAAATTCCTGAATGCAGAGTTAAATGGTTGTAGAGTCAAAATGTATTGTGTTGCTTGACATAAAGCTTGACATCGTCCTGGGCTTCCTAAGAGAGAACTTCAAAAGAGACCATGTTTTTACCTGGTGTGTTTGCCCTTTTCCAGCATGACATGCCAGTGATGGTGATGGAGTACTGGACTGGATGGTTTGATAGTTGGGGAGGACCTCATAACGTCTTTGACGCAGATGGTAAGTTGCTATTCTGCCATGTTTGCTGGTGCAGTTCCTTTTCTGCCTGACTCCTTGACCCCCTCCCCTCTTTATTTTAATTATCATTCCCAGCTCCAAATAAGAAGCAGACGTAGATCTGCAGGTGTAGTCTCATGGCATAGCTTTGTGTTATCAAAGATCATGTTGGCTTATATGTTAAATGTGTATATATTTAAGCTGGTTATTGCCAATTACCAGTGTAAAGTTTGAACAGGTTATTCTCCTCTATTATTTACGCTTCAACTTTCTGAGATCACAAGGCCATTTTGGTATTAGTGCCTCAGCTGCAAACTTCTCTTACTTGTCTTTGCTGGGCACTGAACCTGATTTGTTTTTTAAGTACCCAGGGAAAAAACCTACATTTATTTTTAATGTTTTCAAGCTTTTAATTTCTCCTAAGGTTTTATGACTCCTTTAAATATAGCCAGTTGCCCCTTTATTGTTCAGATATTTCAGTTCATTTAATTCAAGCTGTCAAGGGAGACCTTGAGCGTCTTGCACTGAAAAATGGATGGCGGAACAAAAACTCAACAACATAATTTTAATTTTCAATATGAATATATAAACCGAGAAGGGAAAATGGTATTGTTTTCTCCAAGAAGAATGGACTGTTTTTTGTCTCCTTTGCGGTAGGAGTTGTAATCACTGAATAAGAATAAAAGACTGAATGCAAAGTAAGTGGAAGTAATTCAGTGAGAGTTACTTTCAGGCATTTATTTTTTAATTCAATCTTGGGGCCACCTGACTCTGGCTTACAATTAAAAGGAAGCAACATATATAAAAAAAAATGGATACAGCTGACCAGAAGACCAATGCTTATCACCAAAAGCCAAAAGTCGTAGGGAATCAACAACTATCTTGGGAAAACAACCATGTTTTTAACGGTGGCAGTACAGGTCTTGTCAGCTTTCCCAGGTAGACCAGACAGGAAACACGACCAGATGAACTAATTCTACTTTATTGTAATGCTACATTAACAGAATCTTGCAAGTCTCCCGCCGTCTCCTTTACAGCCTGAGAACTTAGGGAGGGTCCCTTCTGAACCTCTTTCTCCACCCATTATGCAACTGCAGGCTGTGCCCTCTCTTTATTCAATCATTCTCTAGGCAGCATTTCTTTGCCCTGTCTCCCAGGGACTTTCTCACATACAATTAGAGGTCTGTAGGGGGATGTCATTCCAGAGGGCAAGCATGGGCTGGGCCTGACAGAGCAAAGCCCCATTTTCAACATTCTGCGCAAGCCCAGTTCATGCCTGCCCTCTGGAAGGAGTGTTTGCTGATTCTTCTTCGAAATAGTGTAACACTTAAGGTACTGGAATTGGCTGTGGAGACCCGTGTTCAGAACTCCAGTTCAGCATAGGCGTTCATTGAGTGATTTTGGATCACTCTTTCTCAGCTCAACTTATCTCCCAGGGTTCTTGTTGTGAGGATAAAATGAGGAGAGGTGTCCACATACACCACCATGGGTTCCTCCAGGAAAAGGTAAGTTATAAAGTAAAATAATAATTGTACCAATAATAACATCCTGCACTCGCCAGCTCCACGCCACACTAGAACCTTTGCTTCCCTCTGCAGAGATGGTGGAAAGGGTTGAAGATGTCATCAGTTCAGGAGCATCCATCAATCTGTACATGTTCCATGGTGGCACCAATTTTGGCTTCATGAACGGTGCTCTGCATTTTGACGAGTACAAGTCAACCATCACCAGCTACGGTAAGGTCATATTGGCCGATTTGGCCTGGCTTGCAAGGGACGCTGACAGGTCAAGGCAGAAGAGGCATCTTAGTTCCCAGCTAGGAGAACTCTTGCAATGGAACAGTCCCAGGTTAGAAGGAGGAGCTTCCCTGAAACTCTGGTGATTTAGCCAAGTTACAGGAGTTCCATACAACAACCAGTGTGGTGTCACTGATACCTTGTTGGAATGAAAGTCAAAAGGGGAACGGTTTTAAATCTCCACCAAGCCCCGTTGCTTCTAGAGATGACAGGAATCGCTCCAACGTACTGCCTGGGTTTGTACAGTGTGTTAAGGTGAGCTAAAAATTGGATTGGGTTATTGGTGGTTTGTGGTTATGATGAGAACCAGCCATTGTCTTATAATGTGGTATGAATCAGGCCATCACAGTAATCCATAATATGGTTCATTTTTGCAAGCATGTTATGGGAAAAGAAGAGTTGTGGTTTCTTAGTCAAGTTTTCAGTCTAGCATGTTATCAGAGCCTGGCCTTCTAGAGAGCTTCTAGTTGATGTAATGCTGGAGTAGACAGTTCTGGGTTGGCCAAGCTAGGAATCTGCTAAAGCAGTGTTTCTCAACCTCGGCAACTTTAAAATGGGTGGACTTCAGCTACCAGAATTCCCCAGCCAGCCATGCTGGCTGGGGAATTCTGGGAGTTGAAGTCCACACAATCTAAAAGTTGCCAAGGTTGAGAAACACTGCATTAAAGTATAAGCAGTCTTAGATGTCCTTTTTCTTACTTAGTTCTATAAAAATCTGAGTGAGGGTTTACTGGTCACCCACTTTCCTTGTGAGGTTAAGAACTTCAGAAGCCACCTTACACCAATTTGGATTAGCCCGGTATTGTCAGTTCTGACTGAGAATGGCTTTCCATGTCTGGGGAGTATTTTTTCACCTCACCTACCCTCTCTTCCTTTTAAGAGAAAGGCCAGGGAATGAAGCAAAGATCTTTGAATGTGGAGCATACGCTGTATCGCTGAATTAGGATTCTTCAAGTTTTTTCCCCCCAAAGTCAGCCTATAAGTATGTGGCTGGACTTCTATATCATCTTTTATCTGGTTACTAAATGAACTCATGTTTTTAGGTTCTCATAATTCACATTGAGCCGTGAACTGACCAACTGGGCAGATGGGAACAGTACCTTAACCCCCAAAGACTAACCTCAGTTAAAACTATCCAAGCTTAGCATATTGTGAGAATGCCAACACTGGGATTGTTCCTAGCCTGGTTAAGTGGGTTGTGTGAGCCCAGCCTGTGTGTGTATGTTACATTCTTGTAGTGATTTCCATGATGTGCACCCAGAAAGTATGTCAGCTATGCTTTCCTGCTGGACCCAACATTGTTTCTTCCTCTTCCTGCTCTACTTTTGTGTTTGCAGACTATGATGCTGTGCTGACTGAGTCTGGAGATTACACCGCCAAGTACTTCAAACTGCGCAAGCTTTTTTCCGGCATTCTGGGTAATTAGATCAACACAGGAGAAGCTTCTCTGCCTTCTCTAAACACTGATGGGGACCCCAGGAACCCAGCTTGAAAACTGGCTCCCCCTGGTGTGGATGCTGGAGCCCTACTGCTCCTCATGTAGCTTCATTCTGTTGATTAGCTGGGGCTGCTTTCCGAGGTGGGGGGGAAGGGGAGGTAGGAGTTTTGTGGTAGAAATGGCCCTTCAGGTGACCTCAGGGCAGTAGGAAAGGCGTGAGCCCTAATAACAGCATTGGTGGACTTGAAGCAAATGCTGATTGGAAAGAGTGGTGGGGGGAGGGAGGGAGGGAGGATGGAAGGAAGGGACATCTTCTCTTTTTTCTTCCTTCCTTTCTCCCCTGTCCTTTTCTTTCTTTCTTTCTAGGACTCTCCCTGGGCAGTAAATATCCCCCTTTCATCTCCTTCACCAGTCTCAGTCAGTAGAGAAGCGTTTTCTTTGATCCTGTGAAGAGGCTATTCCAGAGCAGGCCAAAGTAAAGTCTCCTTTGAGTCAGTCTCTACTCTGGATGACTTTATGAACAAATTCCTGAATTTTCTCGGTAGTACAGTAGAAGTGTTTTGCCATAGCCTTCCTCCACGGTGGTGGTGGTGTTTCTTCCAACTTACCAGTCCAGCCAACAGCCCTGACGTTTCTTCCATTAAGTGTTAACTGGGTCTGACCCGGCTTAACTTTTGGAGATCAACTAGGTCCTTCCCTCTGGCTGGGCATTCAATGCAGAGACCAAAGACAGGTTCTCCGGCACTGAACTGAAACAGCTCATTTAGTTTAAGAGCCTCCCATTTGGGGCTGTGCATGTTAAGCATGTCTTGTTCCACCAGCAGAGGGGTAAAAGATTCGGTTGCCAGTTGTTTGGTTGTACGTGGGCCTAGGCTGGGGAGATGGCATCATGTTCTTTGCTTAAGCAGCAAAGTATCTTGAGCCAGTCTTGGCCTCCCTGCTCTTTCTTGAGTTGTTTGGCTCAGGACCATGGGGCTGCACCTGCTATGACTACCTCACTCTGAGACATGGGGAGCCATTCCAGAAATGGCTGCTTTCTGTCTGGGAAAGTTTCCACAGGAAAGCACTTGACAGATTCTCTGGAGCAGACAGCAGATCCAGTGTCTTGGGGCAGGCCAGGCATTGAGCCCAGGGTGGCCGGGGAGTCTCGATTCTCTGGAGCAGACAGCAGATCCAGTGTCTTGGGGCAGGCCAGGCATTGAGCCCAGGGTGGCCGGGGAGTCTCGATTCTCTGGAGCAGACAGCAGATCCAGTGTCTTGGGGCAGGCCAGGCATTGAGCCCAGGGTGGCCGGGGAGTCTCTGTGACCACTTTTTCCTGCATGCTCCCTCAGGAGATTCCTCAGCTGTTACACATGTGGGGCCAAAAGAGCAGGAAAGGAGGAAGAGCTGGAGATTAGGGACCCATCTCTCTCAAATGGCCCCACACCTGGAACCAGACCTGTTTTTTATACTCACCTGTGGACTACAGCAAAGCCAATTAAGACAATTAGAATAATGGAAGTGGATGCCCCGACGCCTTTTTAGGGAAATAAAAGTGTTCCAGGCAGCATCAAAGCCTCCAAATGTTTGAAGAATGTGTTACTTCTCATAGTTAATTTAGATGATCCAAATAGACTCTTATCAAGCCAATAACTATTTTGGGAAATTGAGACATTTCTCCACCAATACAGTGCTTGAACTCAACTGTGTTCTTTCTTTACTTTTCCAAAGAGACTCCTCTCCCTGCACCTCCGGTAGTTTTACATAAAGCATCATATGGGGCAATCCTGATGCAGCAGTATATCTCCCTGTGGGAATTGTTATCGTCAGTGATCGAGGTAAGTCATCCTCCAGGGATGAATGTTCTCAGATTGTAATGATGAGAATGTGAACAAACCACAAATCACAGCCCGGGTCATCATTAAAGATCTCAGAATAAATCTAAGTGTATGGATATCACTGGGCTTTGAAGATGCTGGTGTGAGATTGGTTGATCATGCATACTTAAAACGGATTCACTATATTTATATGCAGATATAATGTGCAGGCTGCGTGTCTTAAATGGCTTGATAAGTCATTTGCAAGGTTAAACATGCATGTCTGAACAAGTCCTCAATCCTCTCATTCAGGTCTGTTATTTAATCCCTTTTTTGGAGCAAGCAGAAGGAAAATTCTACATCCCTGAGAGATGATTTTGTGTGACATTTGGGAAAACAACTAGCCTAGTTTTCTAAGTTTTGCAATATTCAGCTTATCAATGCAAACTGTTTGCCTCTCAGTCCAGTGTTTCAGAACGAATCTGGTTGCTTGTTTTAGCTCCTGCAAACAAGCATTTGACATCACAGCCTTCCTAATGCTTTGCTTGGTGCCTGCAGTGTTTGCATGTGCGAATCGATCACAGATCTTCAGGTGTCAAGGGATTAAGGCAGGTCTATGTGTAAGCATGAAGCCAGACGTTAGCCAAGGCTTTGATGTGATTTGATCTCTGTTGATATGAACAAAGTGATCCATACAGATTTGAATCTTTCCACCAGAAGAGGAGATGTTGTGAAGGTGTTAAGCTAACTCTACTTCACATTACCTGTTTTATATTTTTACTCTTTTCATTTCTTTCCTTATCATCATGTTGTTACCTTATTATTGAGATGCGTCTGTTTCACGAACCCATTAAGGAAAGACAAAAACGTATTTCTTAGCAGTTGCTGTTAGGATCCTGTTCTGGTTTCTCTTCTGCAGCCTGTGAAGTCAGAATACCCCATTAACATGGAGAACCTGCCAGTGAATAACGGCAACGGACAGGCCTTTGGCTACACCCTCTATGAGACTGTCATCTTTGGCGGAGGAACTCTGTATTCCCGTGATTACATCCGAGACCGAGCACAGGTGAAGTTGGGTGTGCAAGACTTAGATTGCTACTTTCTTCTGAAGGATCAGGGAGGGAAAAGCTGGTTAGATCTTAGTT